CCAAAACCCCAAAACCCCAAAACCCCAAAACCCCAAAACCCCAAAACCCCATTGAATTAATTGTGGTGAGTAATACTGATCTCAGCATAGAATAAAAATTCATTTTAATAACAGAAAGATAGAGAATTAATTATTTCCCTGAAGAAGAAAAAAATATATTGAAACTTGTTAGAGACTAATAGAAGTCCCATAATAACATAAATTGATTAAAATTAGAGGTATATTGCTGGAAACAATTTTATTGTGTTGTATCAATAGATATCTTTATAAAAGTTCATATTCAGAGGAAAATGTGAATATATGTCTCAATGAGAATCATTTTTCTAGACATTAATCTGTTAATTTATATAATTATTATTAAATAATGAGAATTCCCTTTCTTTTTGACTATAATTATGACTTCTTAATGATATCATCTAAATCTAAACTATCAATTTAATGAGCATCTTTCTTTTGATTTAAAGTCATCTACCTAAACTTGATCGCTACCTCGTTTTTAGAACATTTAAAAAACTAGTTTATTTTTCATTCATTATTTGTTGGACGCAATAATTTAAGAATAAAAATATCGAAGAATTCAATGAATTTAGATTGTAATGACTGGTAGAATAAGGATGAGAGATATAGAATATTGTTAGATGAAACTGTTTTCAGCTAGGGAGTTCAAGTAGATAAGATTAACTGATGAACCTTATATTTTGTTGCCATCAGAGTGAAATGAGACACAGTTTAAATAATTAATAAGTTCCTTAATATTTGTAGCCAAGTTTATTAAATTTTAATAAAAATTAACAATCGAATCTTGATTAGTTATATGAAACTAGGTCAATCAATAAGGTTCAAAACAAACCAGCAACTGCTATTGAGATAACTGCAATGAGAGAAGCCACTAATTGAACAGAAGAGCTTGAGCATGATCCAGAGACTGATTTGTATCCTAATTGTGTAGCGTAAATAGAATAGGTTGGGCTGCTTGTGTAATCACACATTTTCTGAGTGTTTACATTACCGGTAGAGATATAAATTCCACTCAAAGTGTAACAGCAGGAATCAACATTTTTCCCATCAAAGTTCTTGCAATCGGAGTTTGACGTGCATGGCTTAACTGTCTAGCCACTAACTTGTGACCCAAGGAAGGCGATCAATAAAAGCACTGAAAGGGTAGTCTTGTTCATTGTAAGAAATGTTTAATATTTTAATTTATCTAATTCGTTTAGCTTATATATCTCATCAAATCTTAAAATGCAACGAATTTTCCTAACGGGGTTTTGGGGTTTTGGGGTTTTGGGG